ATCATCTAGTATTCCATTGGGTAAACTCTAATCACCATTGATAACTCATAACCATAGAATCTATTATATTTTCTAAATAATTATCTACCTCGACAACCGTTAAAAACAACATAAAGTAACCCATAGGTCTGTATTTAAATTACATAGCCATGTTCTTGGTCTCAAGGTTGACCTGGTTGGCCTTGAGTTGCTCATACTTCTCGCGAAGATCGATAAGCCTCTTGCTCCTTAGGAGTCTATTGTAGAGGCGGTGCTAGGGGATACTCCGTGGAGCCATCCATCAAGCAGTCTTGAGATGGGTGGCAACTCCCCTGTGCTCTCATCATCAGATTTGGAGATGGATATGAACAAATTGGAAACCGTCTCTAAGATTTTAATCATGCAAAGGTTAGCAATGTCAATATCGAAGGAATTTTGAGGACATCAACCATGCGATGGAGGGATGCTCTATGGGTGGGGACCCAAGGGCAAGATGTAGATGGATGTGGTGGATGAGCTCGTCCTTGCAGATTCATGTGTGCCGAGTTAGCAGGTTTGCACTGGCGAATAATGCTTCCTTGAGCCCAACTAGGAACTCGAGAGAGGGGGTGTGGTGATGCCTCTATTGACTGGATTGGATCCAAATCGCAAAGGTAAAGCTTGCTGAACTTATCAGCAACAAAGTCTAGGCTCCCGAATTGAAAGGCCTAATTACTAGAGACGAAGGTAGGGGCAAGGTGGAGTTGCCTCATCGAGTTGATGGTGAAGTCTAGGCTACCAAAGGTGATGCTGCCACCCGAAGTAAGATCACTGATGCCATTAGTGAAGGAATCCATATGATGTATTCAAATTGATCTATGCACGTCAGACCCCCCTACTTGGTGCACCAACCATCACCGTTTCGTACCACCTGTAAGTAATCTTGGTATCACGCGTAGTAGATCAAAGGGACACTAGGATTCATACTTGTCCAGGTGGGGTGCCCTACGTTCAGTGTATAATGGGTATTTTGTTGCTTGTACGTCAAATGCTGGGTTTGGTGCTGAGCAAGAGAAATAATAAGATGTGCTACTGATCTGATTGTCAGAGGCTCCCTACCCCGCCTTATATAGCAGGGCTAGGATTACATCCGGTTCATCCCCTGATAATCTGTGATAGTACTATTGCTTAACTGTTTATAGTCACATCTAATCGAGTGGATCATTGTTGACATTACTTTTACAGTTGTACAGTACATCATTTTCTGTTGCATCAGCAACACCCATTCCAGTCAGATCAGAGTAGACAACAAGTGGATGGCAGGCCATGCTGGTTAAGTAGAATAGTTTTGTAATAGTATAGTACACGACATGGCTTGCGCTGTACAAATATTGGGTACCACGTTTATATATTGTTCATATACTTCTTGTCCTTTGTATATCTCCCTATTCCTTGTCGTCGAGTGGACGGAGTAACCATGGGTTGGATTCACCCTTGGCCAGTCGGCTTGACCCACCCTCGCCTAGGGAGCTGGTTAATATGACCTCAGTGAGGGTACCCAAGGTCCAGATACTCATAAACCATGTGAGATTTTCTTTAATACATGACACTTAGTTAAAGAAGAGAGAAAAATTATGTCACCGTAGTATTAGGGTAGTCCCAACTTGGCATTACTCATTAGTTTCTGTGACATGCTATGTCCTATTGGCACTAGCTAAGAAATTATAGGTCACACTGCACAATGTCTAATTGTAGTTACCAAATAAACTCAAATTATCTTTCCCCTCTCTCTCTCCTCCAATCCTCTTTCTTCCCCTCTCCTATATTGTCTTGGTATCTATGATATCCATTTCAATAGATTTTATTTAGTTTTTTGTGCAAACCATAGTTTCTTGCATCAGACCTAGGCCCTATTTGTTTCAGATTTTATCTAGCTTATTATGCCAACCATAAGCTAGAAGCTAAAACAAATAACCCAACTGTTGAGCTGGCTTTTGAAAAGCTTGAAAGGTAGCTTCCGAGGAAATGAACTAAAAGCTGAAAAGCGTGTTCTGAGAGCTTAGATGACTTTTGGTGTGCTGAGAGCTCAAAATTTATTAAAACAATAATAGAAAAAATAATAGCCAAAAGCCAAAAGCCAGAGAGTCAGCTTTTAAGCCAAAAACCCCAAAAGCAACAAGTCAAACAAACAGACCCCTAATTTCTTCTCTGCTTTAATTCTATTGTCATATTAAAAATTCTCCTATACATAGCACCATATTAAATCGTATGGAAACTATCTACTCATAGCAATGGGATTGCTAGCCAAAAAACCCAAAAGCTACAAGTCAAACAAACAGACCCCTAATTTCTTCAATCTGCTTTAATTCTATTGTCATATTAACAAATTGTCCTACACATAACACCATATTAAATCGTATGGAAACTATATACTCATAGCAATGGGATTGCTCAAATAGCTTGGGCTCGTACTAAGGACTCAGAAATTGTGCTCATATATGGGTCCATTGACAAAAACATGGAGCAACTAACTATTTTGAATGGTATAAGAAACAACAATATGAATACAATAATGCATTGAAGGAGTCATTTTCTACACATCTATATTAGCGGTTTTCTGTTGTCATGGTAGTCTTGCATATAACCTATAGATGGCCATGCAGCCCGCAGCCCGATAGCCCAGCCCGAAGCACGGTTTTTTTGCCCAGCTTGAGCATGGCATGGCCCGGTGTAATGCGGACCTAGGCCAGCATGGCCCGACACACAGAGCCATGCTTGGGCGGCTCCTCTAGAACACTGGGTGGCATGGCAGCCCGCTAAAACACTCCAAGCCCAATTAGGCCGCTATTAAGTCAATGATTATACATATCTTCTTAATTCCTAACGGAGGCACTAGCACCCTGACGACCGGCGCCACAGTGCGTCCGGACGCAACTCCTAGTCCCAGCGAACCGAACCGTGGCCCATCTCCCGGTCACAGGCCCATCGTAGCTCTCCCCCTGTCCGCCTTCACCCCGACCTCGTCTGCCTTCACCCCGCCCCACGCGCGCACTCTACCCCTATCTCTGCACCCGCCGGTCGCCCCTGATCCCCTCCTCTCTCTCCGCGCAGGTGGCACTCAGGAGCCGGGATGAGCAGCTGAGGATGAGCACGCCCCCAGCGTGCCCGGACCGCACCACCCCTGTTCGCCGGCCCCCCAGCGCGCTGCGTGCCCCATCCGTGGGTCCCTGGGTTGCCCTAGGCTGAACAACATAAAACACTTGCAACATGAATATAACATAAGACTGAAAACAGATGAAACATTTGGAAACATGCTTCTGCAACATGTGTGTGAAACGCATGAAACATCCAAAATAAAACACTTGCAACTTGCAATATTATACCACTTGCTACAACGTAAGACTGAAACAACTGAAATATTTGGAAACATATATACTATTGCAACATATGCAACATCCACATCAAAAACGATTGCAACATACGTCTGAAAATAGACGAAACATTTTGAACAAACGCTTGCAACATGCCTTTGAAAACACTTGCAACATATGCAACATCCCTCGATCTATTTTTGTAACATCAAGATGAAACAATTGCGACATACATCTAAAACGCCTGAAACACTTAAAACATACATATGCAACATAGGGGAAGGGAAGGTCAGGTTGGTCGATTTCGGCCGTCGACGTCGGAGCCGGCGGCGAGACGTGGCGCACGAGCACCGCCAGCTCCGCCCACACTCGTGGGTGCCCTTGGCTCGACAGGGGAAGACCTGAGGCGCCACGACACATGCGTCCCAGCAGCCATGGCGGGGTCAGCGGCATCCACGACGGTAATGGGTGATAAACGGATGGATAGACTGTGAGGGAGAGCAAGCGGGACAAGTGTGTGGGACGGGCGCGCCGCGCGGTCGGAGATGGGGCACGACGCGGCAGCGGACGAGCGCGCATGGCGGAAGGGGCGCGGACAATGAGCGGCCACGATGCTTCAGGTCCTAGCGGATAAGCACGAAGGAGTTAGGGCGGGCGGGCAGGCAGATAAGCACGAAGGAGTGGGGGATTTTTTTTTGTTTGGAGTCTGCTCGTGTGGAGTCCTGTCCAGACGAAAGTCATGGACGGACGTCCTAGTTGAATCTTTTCCGAATACCTAACCCTATCTTCTACTTCCCTCGTGACTCCTCCCTCCCCACGCCTCCTACTCATGCCACGCCGTGCGACTCTTCCCCTCCACACGTGACTCCTCCGACTCACGCGGTCCTGCCGCTGCTCGGTCTCTTGGCTCTCGCGACTACTGCTCGTGCGACTCCTCCCCTCCTCGATTCCTGCCGGGCGCAGGTTCTCTTGAGCGTCATCTCCTCTCCTTGTCCACACGTATCTTGTATCTCAAAACAGCGGGCGGCATGCAAATTTACCTAGCTGTGTAACGTGCTACCAACATGATATGGACTGTTAGAGAGCAGTGGAGACAACGCGTGCCTCCTATTTGAGATGACAGAGACGTAACACAACTCCAATTTGAGATGACAGAGACGTAACACAAACGCAGTGGAGACAACGCGTGCCTCCAATTCGAGATGACAGAGACGTAACACAAACGTAGTTACTCGTTTTTAAGAGCCAGATGTCCGATCCTTTGCCCCCTGTCTCTCTTTTGATCCAATCCAACAAGTAGATAATACTATTAAAATCACACACTCTCTGATGGTCTCCGGTGGATGCGGAGGAGATCAAATGCAGGCGAGCCAGGTAGCTAGTAATAACCACAATGGTGTATATTGGTATGACAACGCAAACCACACACCCTTTACACAGTAAGTGACCGAGTAGTAAATTATGGTTAAAAAAAACAGTACACGCGTCCAACAACGGTTTGCCGGGTCAGGCTATAAATTTCGTTGCCCTCGCCAGCCATTTGTGCTCACACACAGATCCAGCAGCATGCAGTGAAACACAGGTTATCATCATATATAGCTACAAACCTACAACGAGGACTCGATCGGTCATCGTTCGAGAGAGTGAGCTAGCATACGGCTAGCTAGGATGATGAGGAGCGCACTAGTGGTATGGCTGTCTCTTGTCGTCATGGCTGCAGCCGCCGCCGCCGCCGTCGACGATAAACCGGAGCCGAGGCCGGTGATCACTCCAAAGCCACAGCCACAGCCACAGCCCGATCCAACACCAGAGCCCACTAAACCAAAGCCCATGCCGCAGCCCGAGCCGCAGCCGCAGCCGCAGCCTGATCCAACACCAGAGCCCACTAAACCAAAGCCCATGCCGCAGCCGCAGCCTGATCCAACACCAGAGCCCACTAAACCAAAGCCACAGACACAGCCCGAGCCGCAGCCACAGCCCGAGCCGCAGCCACAGCCACAGCTGAAGCCGGAGCCTCAGCCGGGCCCGGGCAAACCCAAGCCGAAGCCGCCAGCGGACTTGCCGGGCACGCCCGGTCCTTGATGGTGCTGTATAAACAAGCAAGCTGCATGAGCTTAATATAAATAAGCGGCTGGCATGCATGCATATGCTTTACGTTTAATATAAATAAGCGTAGCTGCCTGCAGTCTGCGTTTCACGACTACTGCCTGCGCACGTACGTGTATGTCATGTTCCATCACACTACTGTGTACGTGTGTAAAAGAGTATGTGTATGTGTTGTTTGTTTCTCGTGCCTCTACTATCTAATAAAGGCTACTGCTTGTTGTACGTGTTATTGTGCAGTCGGATCACACCTGTATCGATGAATAAAAAGAGACTGTCTGTGTGCATGTATGATTGCGTGTGTTGGTGTTGGCTTAATGACTATCATGGTGTTTGGTTTGGGGAGTGGTCGTCACATCCAGAATCACTTGGTTTAGTCTCCAGTGTATGAAGTCATCTGACGGTTTCACGAGAAATGGCTTGGTCTGAAGGTTTAGCTCTCTGATGGGATGAGCCAGGGACGACGAAGAACGAGTGTCGTACTCATGATATACAAACCAAATGGCCTAATTAGACTTGGATCATTCATCATTCCGCACGGTACCGTGACACAAACGTAACAAACATGCAGATGCAATATATCTCGATAGATTAACGTGGATCTAAATACCTAGTAATCCAAGCTGTCATAACCTTTTCAGGTGGCCCTGTTTTTTAGTAATAATTCAGCAGTACTTTTCAACGAAGAAACAATATTTTTTCTTTCACAACAAATCAAAATAAGCAACAACATAAGCTAAATTTCAGCGAAACAAACAGAGCTATGTCGGTAATTTTTTTCACTGCTGGCTTCTTCAGCGAAAGGTAGTATTAGGGTAGTCCCAACTTGACATTACTCATTAGTTTCTGTGACATGCTATGTCCTATTGACACTAGCTAAGAAATTATAGTTCACACTGCACAATGTCTAATTGTAGTTACCAAATAAACTCAAATTATCTTTCCCCCCCTCTCTCTCTCTCCTCCAATCCTCTTTCTTCCTCTCTCCTATATTCACAAGTAGAGAAACGACCTTTAATCCAGCTTGAAATTTGGCTTTAGACCCAGTATTTTTCGCGTTCGGGACTAGAGAGACATTTAGTCCCGATTTGTAGCTCCAACCGGGACTAAAGGTCTATACCCAACGGCTACTGCGGCAGGCTTTTACTGCAGGGGACCTTTAGTCCCGGGACTAAATGTTAACTTTTACTCCCGGTTGGTCCCTCCAACCGGGAGTAAAAGTCTTCTCCTGGCTGGAGGCTCCGTCCGGGACTAGAAAGGGACCTTTAGTCCCGGTTTCTGTCTCCAACCGGGACTAAAGGTCCCCTCCTATATAGCCCTCTTCATCCCCGAGCCCGAGCCACTTCGAGCTCAGTGTTCTTGCTTCATCGCCGGCCTCTCTTCTTCCTCATCGCCGGTAATCACAAGGTTTTTTCGATTCCTCCCTCGATTCTTCGGTTCTAAAGGTTACCAACTTTATACTCTCATGTTTCATCAGTAGCATATCTTTTTTTGTGGACTAGATATATGTGGTTTTTTATGGTGATTTTTTTTATTTGTAAGCCATTTAAGTTTAAAATCACTTTAAAGTTTGCATATTTAGATGAAGGAAGGTTAAAGTAGCTATTCAAAACTAGTATTCAGTTTTCATTTGTAGCATGCATAGCACACTTCATGGTTTAGAGATATAGAGAATTTTAGAGTTTTTTTAATTTTATTTGTTTATAAAATGAGAAATTTATATTATATTAAAAATGAGTATAGAGAGTAGATGTCAACTACTTCTGGGTCCTCGGCCTCTCATCGGGTTCTAAAGCGACTGAGGCCGGACCTCCCTCTCATTGCATGCGGCAAGTGTGAGGAGAAGATTGTGATGCAGTACCGGGTGAGGAAGGAGTGTCCCAACAAGGGCCGTATCTTCTACAAGTGTTCGGATCGCAATGTGAGTTATTTTGTCGCATTTGATGATTATGGTTAATTTATACTTATTTTCATGATGATTGTGATTAAAGTTCTAATTTTTTGTTTTAATTTCAGTGGGATGACACTGGATGTTCATGCTGGTACTGGGAGGAAGAGTATGTTGAACACATGCAAAACTCTCTTGCACAGGCGGCTACGGTGGCTGATAAGGCAGTGATCCTGCGGAAGAAGCCCATAGATGTTGAACAAACGCATGATCTGTCTGTTTTAGTTGGGATTGGTCGTAAAATCCTTATGCCGCTGAAGTGCATTTTAGCTTTAATTTTTTTAGTGGTAGTTGGGATTGTCTACATTGTAGCGAGACTTTCATAAATTAATACCTTGTGTGGTGGCATGCATGTCATATAATTAACTAATTATGTTCTAGGTTTTAATATGGTATGTATGTCATGTAATGCAGATGAGCCGGCATTGGATGTACAATGCTGATCGCCACTCCCAAGTGTTCATTGAGTGCGTGCATTCTTTCTTACGTGTGGCCGAGGCAAACAAACGCGATGGTTTCATGTGCTGCCCATGTGCCATATGTAAGAATTTGAAGGAATATACTAGCTCAAGGAGTCTTCATTCACACTTGTTGAAGTCGGGTTTTATGCCAAACTATATTTGTTGGACAAAGCATGGAGAAACCGGGGTTGTAATGGAAGAAGGTGAAGAAGAACAATGGGACGATGATGACATTATTGCTGAATTTGGTGCCTTCAATGATACTACAATGGGGGAAGCTGAAGAAGAGGTAGTGGCAGAAGATGAGCCAGCTGATGATCTTGGTCAGGCCATTCGTGACGCACAAAGAGAATGCGAAAGTGAAAAGGAGAAGATCAAGTTCGAGCGCATGCTAGAGGATCACAAGAAATTATTATACCCAACTTGTGATGTGGGACAGAAAAAGTTGGGTACCACACTGGAATTGCTGCAATGGAAGGCAAAGAATGGTGTATCTAACAAGGGATTTGGGGAGTTACTGAAAATCCAAAAGAAGATGCTTCCGAAGGATAACGAATTGCCCGTCACTATGTACGAAGCAAAACAGGTAGTCTGTCCTTTGGAATTAGAAATCCAGAAGATACATGCATGTCCTAATGACTGCATCCTCTACTGTGGCGAGGAGTACGAGAAGTTAGATGCATGCCCGGTATGTCATGCATCGCGGTATAAGATCAGGCGAGATGACCCTGGTGATGTTGAGGGCGAATGTCCCACGAAGAAAATCCCTACCAAGATTATGTGGTATGCTCCTATAATACCACGCTTGAAACGTCTGTTCAGAAACAAAGACCATGCAAAGTTATTACGATGGCACAAAGAAGACCGTAAGGTAGACAATATGTTGAGACACCCTGCTGATGGGTCCCAGTGGAGAGCAATCGATAGAGAATTCCCGGAGTTTGCAAATGACGCAAGAAACTTAAGGTTTGCTTTAAGTACGGATGGTATGAATCCTTTTGGGGAGCAGAGCAGTAGTCATAGCACTTGGCCTGTTACTCTATGTATCTACAACCTTCCTCCCTGGTTATGCATGAAGCGTAAGTTTATTATGATGCCAGTGCTCATCCAAGGCCCAAGGCAACCTGGCAACGACATCGATGTGTACCTGAGGCCACTAGTTGAAGAACTTCTACTTTTGTGGAATAGACTAGGTGTACATGTGTGGGATGAGCACAAACAGGAGCACTTTGACCTACGAGCATTGTTGTTCGTAACAATCAATGATTGGCCTGCTCTAAGTAATCTTTTAGGACAATCAAACAAGGAATATAATGCATGCACGCACTGTTTTGATGACATTAAAGGTATAATCTTGAAAAAATATCAAAAGCTCGTGTACCTTGGCTATCGTCGATTTCTTCCTGCGAATCACCCCCTAAGAAAGAAAGGCAAGCATTTTAAAGGTAAGGCAGACCACCAGACCAAGCCAGGCAACCGAACTAGTGAGGATGTACTCAATATGGTCAAGGATGTGAAAGTAGTATTTGGAAAGGCACATGGCAGCGAACTTGTTCCGAACGACGCCGACGGTCACGCACCCATGTGGAAGAAGTCCATATTTTGGGAGCTACCCTATTGGTAAGTCCTAGAGGTCCGTAGTGCGATCGACGTGATGCACCTAATGAAGAATCTTTGTGTGAACCTGCTAGGCTTCATGGGTGTGTATAGGAAGCCTAAGGACACACTTGAAGCACGATAGGACCTATGGTGTTTGAAAGAACGAGACAACCTGCATCCAGAGAAGACAGATGATGGACGCCATTACTTAAGTCCTGCTAGCTACACTCTTAGCAAAGAAGAGAAGAAAAGCATGTTTGAATGCCTAGCAAGCATCAAGGTACCATCTGGATTCTCCTCGAATATAAAGGGTATAATAAATGTGCCAGAGAAGAAATTCCTAAACTTAAAGTCCCATGACTGCCACGTGCTCATGACACGATTGCTTCCAGTTGTATTAAGAGGAATTCTACCTCCAAATGTACGTCTAGCCACCGTGAAGCTATGTGCATTCCTGAATGCAATTTCTCATAAGGCAATCGATCCAATGAATCTAGCTAAACTATAGAATGATGTGGTTCAATGTCTTGTCAGCTTTGAGTTGGTGTTCCCTCCTTCCTTCTTTAATATCATGACACACCTCCTAGTTCACCTGGTCAAGGAGATTAGCATTCTCGGTCTTGTGTTCCTGCACAACATGTTCCCCTTTGAGAGGTTCATGGGAGTCCTAAAGAAATATGTTCACAACCGTGCTCGGCCAGAAGGAAGCATTGCCAAGGGCTATGGAACAGAGGAGGTCATTGAGTTTTGTGTTGACTTTATTCCCGACCTTGACTCGATTGGGGTTCCTGAATCGCGACACGAGGGGAGACTAAGTGGAAAGGGGACACTAGGGAACAAAACATATATTGGTACGTAGGACAATTATTTTAATAAAGCACACTACACAGTTCTGCAAAACGCCTCCTTGGTGGATCCGTATATCGAGACACATAAAGAGTTGCTCCGATCCGAGTTTTCAGGGAAGTCTG